TCCCTCCTTGATCCATCCTCTGTTGTACCCAGTTTTGAAATTTCCAATTAAAAATTATCCAGCTCAACAAGTTTTAATGAGTGCTAGCTGTGTGTATAGGAGCTGCTTAACCAATTAGCCTGGAAGACCTTCTTATTTTTCCTCTAGAAAGCTACTTTTTAATTTAAGGAGGCCCCTCCTTTGTCAAGCTTTTCCCAGCCCAACCCCCCCACTCTGAGCTCCATGGCACTTTGGGAATCCCCCTGGAGGAGCCTCTGTACCCCATTGCATGGCTATTGTTAGGTATGGCTGTAGCTCTCCCATTGGACTGTGATGCCCTTCAGGTGTAGGCCTTGTTCTCAGTGGTCGCCAAATCAGTAGTGAATACTTGAGGTAGCCAAGAAAGACTGGAGGGGCTTAGGGAGGCAAATCAAAGTGACCTTTGCATCTTCTACCAAGTTCAAAGGGTTGGCAGAGAAGTACAACGCACTTCCCCAGTGAATGTGGGTCTAAGGTCAAGGAAAATGAGAAACTTCGATCCCATCGCATGACAACATAACAGTTGCGTGGTTTTTTATTTTTTCCCTCATTGCTTCTGTATAATACATGGCACATACTGAAGACTCAATAAATAGCTGTAGAATGAATAAATGAATGCTTCTATTCGTTTCTTTGTCAACCTTTTGTTCTTCCCTTTTTGTCTGACTTAACCTCACCCCTCATCCTTTTCTCTCATCCTCCCATACGCAAAAATTACATCCTCTCTTTCTCTCCCTCTCTTTCTCCTTCCCTCTCTCCCTGTCTCTCATCCACTAACTTCATGTATAAGAGTGTGTATGTGTATTATCGTTTTCAGTTTACAGAGGAGAAAACAAAAATTCAAAAGCCCAAAACTAGGTCAAAGATCACACAGCTAGGAAGAGGTTGTAACAGATAATATCATACTGTCCCAGATCCCTTAGCCATTTCTGTATGTTCTAAGCCATAGTGTGCTTCACTCCCAGCAGCCAGCCCCTGCAACTTTGTCCAAAGGTTGCCCCAGGATGCTAGAGCTCATTTTGCCAGTGGCCTAGGAGAGCCAGAGTGCCTGAAGTTTAAGCCTCCCCTCCTCCGCACCACTAAGAGGCATGGGACCGACAGCCCTTAACTAATGATTGACAGGAGTGTGGGCAGAAGGACTACAGCTCCCTGGCTTGCAATGGAGACAGCTCTCATGTATGATCTGTAAATGCCTCCAGATCTGCCCCAGTGATTAAGCCAATATGATACTCTCAGACTTCCCTTGATGCTGCACCCAGTGTGGCCTCCTCCCTTTCCTTGTCCACCTTTCTTACTCCAGGACCAGTGTTCCATGGAAGGCTTCCTAATAAATCCTTTTCTCACTGTAGGGGTTCAGAACAGCCCTCTTCAAAATGTGTCACTTTGGCAATGTGCATTATTTTGAGCTGAAGGTGATCAAGACCCTGCAGGCTCATGACAAATATTTGCCTCTCCCTTAAAGAATTTAAATTGGGGGACTTAGCAATACATAATAAGAGTTGTCACCAGAAATAACTTTTTATGACCTATATATAGGGCAGGGAAAGCTACTAATTACTGAACATCTGCTCTTCTTATCGTCCTTAAATGACCTTCCTCCCCTCTGAAGCCCCCAAGGTATTTTACCACACCCTTAGCTCAGAATCCCATATATACTTAATTTAATTTTCTGTCCCTAAATCTCTTAATGTATTTGGGGTCTTCAACTCGCTCATGTATGTGGGGTTCCCATATGTACTCATGTAATTAAATTTGGTTATTTTCTCTTGTAAATCTGTCTCATATAGATTTGATTATTAGACCAGCTGAAAGAACATTGAAGGGTAGAGGAAATTTTCTTCCTCTCCCACAAACACAAATCCTCATTTCAAGCCCTGCCTCTGGAGAACCTAGCCTAAGGCAAGGTAAATGCAGCATTCAAACCCAAGCCTGTCAGACTTCAAAGTTTTTTCCACCATGTCCTGCTTGAGATTCTACTGCAGTCATGCAGGCCTGCTCTTCATTAATTTTAGTCATTTCAAAAACTCCGGAAGCTTCGAGTAACTTGAAGACAAATAGGTGTTCAGATGCTCTGTGCTTGCTTATTTCTTCTTACTATAATTATATGTCTCTGAGACAAAAGACCTTTGCATATCTTAGCAAAATCAAATAAATGACTCAAAGAAAATAAGTTACTTTTTTGAACTTGTCCTCGTAATTGTCCTACACCTGGGTCCATAATTAAATAGACACTAAAATGAACTTTACCCTTTAACGTGATCCCTTTTAAAAATATTTTTATTGTGAAAGTAATATGACTCCATTAGATAAATTCTAGAGGAAACGTCTAGGGGGAAAACATTCAAGTGCCCCAATTTAACCCTTCACAAACTATTCCCTTCCAGTGTTTTTTTGTTTTTTTTTTTAATTGTATGACATGGTTACATCTTGCTCAAACACCTGGATCTCCTGCATATTTTCCTTTAGAGCAGTTTTGCATGGTGTAACAAGATCCTGTGGTTTTCATTCTTAATGGTTGCCCTTTGTTCCACTCAGAGGATGTACTGCAATTTGTCACTATTTTGATTGCTTTTGATATTTCATTATTTTAAATAAGAGTGTGCTGAACAACTTTGTGAATATGCCATTTTGTTTGACATGAACCCTTGTCCCTTATTTCAGATTATTTCTTTAAGAGAAATTTCCAAATCCTGAATTATTGATAAAGGAATAATATTTATGGCTTTTGACATACATTGTCACATTTCTCCCAGTGCTCTCCCCACCCCCCCCACCTCCGTACACTAAAATGTGTAACAATTTATAATACAAGTCCACCTGACAAAAAGATTAATCCAAGTCATGGTGCCTTATTATTTTTTAATGAGTTTTGATCTAACTAAATAAATTCATTTAAAATTTCTCCATTTAGTACAAAGGCCTTGAAACCTTCTCCAGAATCATACTGAACTTATGGCATTCCTCATTAAAATTACAAAGAACCTGAAAAGTACATTTTAGTCACTTTAAAACTGTATGTAGTTCCTTTCTTAATTCTCAGCTTTCTAATTGCTAAGCATTTCATTGAAGGATTAGTCAGCGGGCTTGAGTTGCCTAATTTAATCAGTCATTTTACATGCCACTAAACATAACTCAGGACATTTCGATGGCTGATGTGGGCTAACTGATGGAGGTATGTATTTTGTAAGCATTTCTGCTTGCCTGCAGCTGCAAAAAAATAGAGGACGAAGAACACTGACAAGATAAACAAGCAATAGAAGATTCCTGTTTTCTCAGTTACCTTGAAGTTTGCCTTAGTGCATTCCAAAGGTTAGTATTCTTATTAGCTTTAGAAGTACTGCTCCTTGAAATTGATTTCCAGGAATATTTGAACCTCCAGGAGATCATGTCTTTCTTATTGGTGTCAACCACAGCATTGCTATTTTTTTTAACATGCTTAATTGTCTTGTCTTTTTTCGCACAAGTGGAAAAGTACAAAAAATAAATTCAACCTGGAATTATTCTGAAGACCATGGGTACTTGCTAGTATACAGAGAACAGAAAGATTTAGACTGCTGTTACATTTTTCACCCAGCCTGCCCAAAGAATTCTAGTGAATCAGTAGAAAACCCATTCAGTCTTACAGCTACATAGTTCCAGGTGATACCAGACATGTATATAGGTAAACATCCCATTGATCAGGTGGGTTTTCTACCTTCGAACTGTTTGTTTTTGTTGGTTTTGTGTGTGCGCGCGCGCGTGTGTGTAAGAGAGAAAGAGCTTATTTTCCACAGCTTTTCTGAACTCCAACAAGTGCCAACTTGCATTTTATTTTAAGAGAGAAGAATTTCATCGTTGAATTAAAGAGGCAAAATAGACTAGTCACTTTATATTCCATTTCTCTGTGAATTGGGAAAACTCATTTGTTTCGATCCATACCCCATGTTTGCCTTCACCCTCAGCAGGTTTGGAGTGATGGCGTGGATGTGGGGTGATGACATGCTGGCAAATGATTCTGCAGCTGATGTCCTTAACTTTGGCAGGATCTTCTAGGTTAGGATAATTCTAGGTAATCCTAATTAAAGCCCTATCTAAGCTCAAACTTCACACAACCAAACAAACCAGTTTTAGAATCCATGGAACTTAATTTGGCCTCACACTTGCAGTGAAAAAAGAAACACGAAAGAAGGAAAAAGGTGGCAGCTTAGGGCGCACTGCCAGCTTGATCCAAATAAGAAACATTACCAGTCTCGTTACAGATATGAAGACAAAGGTTCAGATGAGACACATGGTTTTTTACAACAACAAGGCAAACTGAAAAGTTTTCAGCCCTGGTGAGCCCTTCCAATATGCACACACAGCGGAGTACAAAAATAACCTGGCTTTGTCAGCTTCTTTGCACATCTAAGGCATAAGAGCCAAAGTCTAGAACACAACCAAACATTAAACTCAACGAAATTTCGTTTAAGCCTAAAGAAACCTAGAAGACTTTCCTGGATACAATGAAACAAATGAAATACTGCAGGTTTGCTTATTAATATTTATCCTGGGAAATTAACAAAACCATGGTTTAGATGCACTTCATCTTCCCCGTCCCTCTCATGCGCACCTCCTGAAGAAAGCAAACCAAAGGAATGCAGTGAAATCCACTTGGGGATGTGGTTTCATTTACTTCATGCCAAGTGTTTGATTTTTAAGCCACATTTGAAAAAGTCCCACTAAGACAAAGCAAGGACCAGATCCTGCCCTGAGTGAGAGTCGCAGTGCCGTCCGCTTACCTGTGATTAGCACCGCCTTTTGATCCACGGGTAACAGCTCTTGACAAGATAAGTAAATATACATGAGGAAACATGACAGGGAAAAGAGGATCGAGCTCCAGAAGAGAGACAGGCTGAGCAGGCAAAGTCCTCCCAAGAAGCCTACCAGGCAGATCACCTTTCTCCCCACCTGCCCTGAGCTCTTCTTGAGTTTGCAAAGGACTAGTCCTCCCAGCACTGCGGTGACAGCCAGGCAGAGATACACCATCTCAGAGAAGAAAGTGTTCATTCTCAGAGACTCCGCTGCACTTTTTTGTCCTCAGGGCAAGTGGGCAAATGCTGGCTGGAGGCAGCCTGGTATATGTGAACAGAGAGGCAAGTAGGGGTGGGTGGGGGAGGGGGAGGAAAGCAGCCCCAGCACACTTTGAATGAGCCTGGATTAATCATACACATAGAGGCACATATTTCCTAGTGGGTAATTTAAACCAGCGTGCAGTTTGATATGAATACCACAGCTCTTCCTATTTGATTGCTCTCCCCACAACCGCACATGACACACATGCATTCTCGCCCACAACAAACATTCATTAGCTTTTTAATGACCTCTGGAGAGCTAACTAATTGGATAATTATTGACAGAATTGAATCTGAACTGTGAATTCCAAAACCTCTAACTTACAGGAAAACACGCTTTCTCCTTAGGCATCTGTGGTATGTCTGTCTGTCTGGTCTTTTTTCTGACGTGTGTGTGTGTGTGTCTGTCTGTGTGTTTGTAAATTCAGGCAACAAATGAGGTTTGGAAGATTGATTCTAGAAGGGGAAGGCATCACTGATTTTGTCCATATCTGCAGGACTCCCACCATCTCCCACCTGAGTCAGACTGAAGGGTGAATGGAGAAGGAATAAAGAACTAGAGGAAGAGACTCATGGCAGATGAAAAGTGCTTTGGTTTTGCCAGAGGGGAGATATGCCAGGATGAGATAATAACAATGATAATACAACTAATAATGGCCCACATCTATTTGTACTTATTTGTGCCATTTATAGCTACTTATCCATTCATGCTCTCTATTGAGACCCCATTCTCTGCCAATCTCTAACCTAATTGACACTCATCAGTCAATATGCTCAGTCTCTTTGAGTACAATATCCTTATGACGGTAGTTTCTATTATTATAGTAATTTTATAGGTTGAGAACACGAGTCACAGAGAGGTTAAAAGACTTGCCCAAGATCACATAACAGTGCAGTCAAGCAGCCTTGTTTCACAGCTTTATGCTCTTAACCACTTTAATGCCTGTCTTAGGCAAAAAAATAAAAGACAATCAGTATGTTATATACTAACGCATACCTTACCTTCATTTAAACCTTAGGAAACATTTCAAGGTAGATATTACAACACTCTCTTTAGAAAGAGGAAAACAGAGGCTGGGAGAGGGTAAGTAGTGGATTTGGACCCACACTCATGACTTACTGGGTCAAAGCCAGCACTCAGAGCTGTGATACCTTATATTATAGCTGTGACCACCAGTGACAGTGCTGACTGCCCCAAGAGGGGACTGAGCCACTGGGACTTACAGTGTGCCCTGTGTGTTGCAGGCACCTGGCAGGGAGGGATGCAGGATTGACAAGGAAAGTTCTCACTTTGAGGTCAGATTATTTATATTCAAATCCAATCTTGGCTCTGCCATTTACTAACTAGGTCATCTTGGGTGAGTGACTTCACCTCCCTAGACAGACACCCATCCCCTCAGCTGTCAAATAATAAAAATACCAAGGTAAAGCACTTAACACATCCGGCCTGGAACACCAGAAGGAGCTTCATAAATGCCAGCAATTTGTATTTTTTTAATCAGGGCAGTTTGGAGAGAGGAAAAACAAAATTTCCTCCTACCTTTCTAAGGTGTTCTGCCTGGACTAGTCAAATTAACATGAGACAGATTAATAGGAGAAAATAACCAAATTTATTATGTATATATATGTGGGGGTTCTACAAAAACGTGAGACTTCAGGACAGATCAGGTAGTTAAGGCTTAAACGTCATCTTGAGCTAAGGAGAAAAGGGGGATTGTGGTTTGAAACTTCGAAAGGGAGGAAAGAAAATCACGTGGAGATGGAAAAGCAAATGTTAGGTAAATAAATGTTTGCTGGACCATCTTTAACAAAGGCACACCGAAAGGACTTTGGGTTTCTCCTTGTCTGTCACACACTAGTTCATATTTAACTATAATTACCCTTCCTTGAGCAAGTCCTCTATCTAAATTTTTTTAAGTGCTTAAGACAAAGGTCAAGGGTTTTTCCTGAGTCATTTGTTTCTCAAAAATGACAAATTTAAAATAATCAATACCTCAGAAAGCATGTTTTGGCATGGCAAACTTTGCTTCCCCTCACAGGAAGAACAAGAGGAGTACAATTAAGTGCCCAATGGAATGTCGACTTGTCCTAAGACATGGCTGAAGTTAGCATGAGTTGAGGGGCAGGGAGGAGGAGCGGAGAGGACTCCAATTACAGACAACCTGGGGGAGGCAGGGCTGTGGAGGGGATGTACCCACCATGTAAGAAGTTTAATAGCGCTTGGGACAGGGAGTCGGGGAAGCTGGCTCTGGCTTCAGGTGAGTCTTTGGTGAGTCACTGTCCCTGGCCAGCTCAGCTGTAAGGGAGCCTACCTGGGTTCAGGGCTATCTCTAGACCCAAGGAAGACCAGGTGTGAACCATCTTGTTCTGTGAGACTGCAAGGAGTGATGACGAAGTCATTGAGGAGTTCTCTCATGGGGCCATGGCACCTCTTGTCTGCCCTCCCAGCCCCATGGACATCTGAGGTGAGGAGACTTTGCCAGCTCCAGGCCGGGAAGCTTAGAGGGAAGAATCTGAAATTCCCTTTGGCTAGCCCTGAGATCTCCCTCCCTCCACACACCCTGTTTACTCATATTAGCTGTGGGCACACCCATCCTAGACGCAGGTACCTCTCACAGGCCTCTTGGCCTCACCAGCCAGGAGGATTCAGACAAACCAGCCCTGGTGTCAGATCGCTTTCCAGGTGATGCTACAGGGTGGTTATGGCTCTTTTCTGGGTACTTTGTCAGTGACACCTACACTGGGGCTGGGGCCAAACATCTAGTGGGTTTCCTGATGGTCCCGTGCACTGGAGATGAAGCAAATCTCCTGGTGGCACCCCATGTGGCTTCTCAGCTGCTCAGTTCTGGGGCTCCAAAGGAGTGGGTGACAGCTGTCATGAAGTGGAAGTCTAGGTGAGGATGGTTCTTGCCCTCTGATGTTGAAGGAGATGCACAGTTAAGAATGTGGGCTTTAAAGCCTCACGGAACTGAGTTCGAATCCTGACTTTGCCGTTTTACTAGCTGTGAGGCATTGGGCAAGTTACCTGCCCTTCCTGAGAGTCAGTTTCCACCTCTCCGTAAAGGAAACCCAGCTCCCTAGTGTTGTCTTTAAAGGTGAACCACATAATTCTTGCATTGTTTCTGGCACTGACAGGACAATAGCCACTTTTCTCATTGTTGGGAGCACTCACTGCCTTAAGAGGACGAAGGTCTTTATATCCTGGGCAGAGGTAGAGATTCTTGCCAGCTTCCTTCTCACTCATTTATTTCTTCATTCCATTCATCACACACTTCTTCCCCTTATCATTTTTCAGATTCTGCTTAAATATCACCTCCTCACCACCCAATCCAAATAACTTTCATCACCACACCCTATTTCCTTTGCTGCACTTAGCTCAATTCATAATTCTGTACTTTGTTCATTTTTAGAATTTTTCCATCTCCCCTACTAGACCACAAACTTCAGTGGTCCCTATCTGCTTTATGGTTGTATTTTTATTCACTATTCACCAAAATTCCTAGCCTAGTGCCTGGCACATAGCGTGCATTGAATTAATATTTGTTAAATGAATATGAGAAGGAGAAGGTCTGTACTGAGAACCTTCTAGGAGGCAGGTTCTTATTGGCAAATGGGAATTCAGCAGTGAATAATATGGATCCAGTTCCTGACCTTGGGGAGCTCTCAGGATTAACTGTCACAGGAGCAGTGGAAAGGAAGGTTTTTTTTTGTTTTGTTTTGTTTTTTACCAATTAGAAACAGATGGAGTTGAAGAGTTCCCAGGTGAGAATTAGCCCAACCCCTTCTGAGCCCATATGTTTGCATTCCTTTGATGAGGACTTCAGAGTCCTAGGCCATTTAAGAGCTGCTCTGCCTCTGAATGAAGACTCTGTCCATCTGGCTGAACTCAATTGTGTCTCCTTTTTGTTACCATCATTTTGTTCTAGAGCTATCCCTAAGGCCATCCATGCTTGGCCAGTGTCCCATTTCTGGTAAGCTTGTTCTTAGTTTCCAAAGAGAAAGGAGCCAATTGAATTGACTCATTCTTGCTAATGACACCTGTGGGTCAATGTGCTGCTGCTTTCCATTTCGAAGGCACCTTCTGAAGACAAGATATATTACCCAAAAGAGAGGATTTCTCAACCTTGAGAATATGCGCTTTCTTAGAGTCAGTGGCTCTTGAGTTTAGAAAGAATTTGAAGAAGAAATTTCTCAGGAAAAATGGGGATTCTCTCTGTAACACCCCACCAAAGGGTCATCTTGTCTACGGCCAGTATGCCTGACTTCCAGTTTAGGACAGCTTAGAGTATTAGAAAGCTCTCATTAGAAAAAGTATTGTGGCATTTGCCCTTTCCTTCCCACTTGGAGTCACACAGACCACATCCAGTCCCCATTTCTTTCAGCTACCTGAAGACTGTCATCATGTCTTACCTTCTCCAAGATGATGGTCCTAGGTTCTCTAGACTACCCATATATACAGCAGAATATGGTTTATCTGGTGCTAAGTGCTTGTAAGTCACATTTTTAATTAAGAGTTCGAACATTTAAAAAATCATATTGTTGCAATAATTGAAGGATATGTTGTTATGGTGAGCGTAGCACGGTTGTGGCATAATTCACCAAGTAGGGAATAACCATATAGTGATGTCAGGGTGACCCGAACTTCAAGATATGGACAGGGTGGTACAAGTAATAACAGACCGTCTCACGGACAGTAGGATGGTCTTCCTGCCAACGCAAGTTTTGTTATGGTTTTCAAGGTTTTAAGTGATGACTAACGTTTTAAATGTTGAATTGTAATTGTGCAAATATTATATATGTCATTCTTATTTCATACAGTGTGGGATGAGGGGAGCCAGGAGAAAACCAGAAGTTAGGGTTGGATCAAGTCATTTTTCTGTCTTTGAGACGTTGTGCGGGTAATGACGTTTAAACTCCACAATTATCAGATGGAGTCAGATTCCAAATAGGTCAGATCTCACTTATTGTACA